GGTCCAAGACCTTCTTTACCAGTACTCCCAATGCCAGAGATGGCAAAAAAACAAAAAAAGGAGCCCAAGGGGCCATGAATGAAATCAGTATTTTGCAGAGAAGGATGCACAGATGCCACACAATCCCACTGACATGGCACAGCACGGGCTCAGTCCAAGCAGGATACTCCTTTTCTCCTCCCTACTGCTTCAGGGATCTTGTAGCACTGGGCACAGGACTGGTGAGCTCTGAGGGGGCTACAGGTACCCTACAAGGTACTCAAATGCCCAAAAGGAAAAGGGATTTGCACCTTTCTCCTCCTTGCTAGAGGAGACATTAGTAAATTAGGAACCACCACTTTAAAGAAATGAAGGAGCCAGACTCTTCCAATGCCTTGCAGATATCCTGCTGCCAGAGCTGGGGCAGGTCACCCACGTGAGCTGCTCTGCAGCCACCTCCAGCCAGACCGCCATGCATCACTGCAGAGAACATGTCCACTTCTGCCCCTTGGGTCTGCATCCGCCCCCCAAAAAGGAGAAGCTTGCAGAAATGAGTGACTGAAGGGGCCCCAAAACCTTCCTGTGGGAGTGGAGACATGGTGAGGGGGGGAGGAAGGTGATGGCACAGACAATACATTCATAGCCTCAGAAATCTTTCCAGCCCAGCCTACCTCTACCAGCAGCCCATGTACCTCACTGGGACAAGGGTACAGGACAGGAATACAGACCCTGAGGGAGGCACCGGGGGGGGAGCAAAGTCCTGTAGCTGAGGGTGCTGGAGACCAGGGAGGGAAAGGAGAGGGGCAGGGTTAGCTTCTCGACAGTCCTGGTAGTGAGGTGCTGGGGATCATGCTTGGACTGAAAGGTTGACCAGGAGTTTCTGCTTCCCGTAGGCAAGGGCAGTGTTACAGCTTCACCGCTAGTGAACCGGAGATAGCAGCTGCTGGCACCAGCGTGGGCCCAGCACGTGATGAGGCAGGATTTTTCCCCTTGAAGGTAATTCCCCCTGCCCAGCACTGGTGGGTGGCAGCCACCTCTCC